AATGATCACAAAATATGATTGAAATTATTTCAATTTGTAAAGTAGCAAACATTGACGTATTTTAGATAGTTTGTCGTAATTCAAGGTTCATGTCTAGCAATTTCGTCTGTGGCATCGAGTGACAACATTGCCTTTCTATCTTCTTGGCATTCGTATATATTTTGCTACAACTTTTTGGAATTATCATCATAATCATCATCATCATTATTATTATTATCCTTATATGAATTATACGTTTGGAACCCCCCCCCTCCTCCCCTTACTCTCGATTATCCCTGGATCCACCCTTCAAAAGAGTTTGGTTCATATTTTTCCATGAATGAATCGTGAGTAGTGAATGCATGACTGCCTAATTGAGAGCAACTCAGTTATCAGTGTAAAACCAAGCGAGCTTCGTAAATCACTGTCTTAAAACATGTTTAAAGGAGTGAAATGATATGAAACTTATGACTCATAGCGTGTCAAATAGCTAACGTATTTTTCCGATAAGAGTTTTGCTCCTTATTTTATCTTGCAAAAATACCTTGTAAACGATGACAGGCGATCAATATTTTAAACGATAGCGACCGAGGGAAAAAGGAAAATTTCAAGAAAACATTCTTTCAGAGAAACTGAAACAATTTTGAAGAAATACAGGGAATGAAAGAACAGAAACAGAAGAAGTCAAATACGCGTGTAGGTCAAAGTATTTAAAGCCGTTTATCGTCTGTGACTCGATTTGACTCTCAATTTGACTCGTCAGTGAAATGAGGCGAGGATCATCTTTAAGCATTTTTTGTCCCGAGGGCATCACGAACAGGCTGCCTTCTTACACATGTGTTATGCACTCGTAACATATCAATGGACGCCAAGGCACTTGCAGATGTTGGAAATTATTTTTGAGAAGACCTATATCAAAATACATAAGTAAGGTATGCCAAAGGTATGCAAAAGTTTGCTGTTTCATCAGCTAGTGATCTTGACTTTGGTTGTTTTTCAGTAATTCATGCTCAAAAAATTAGTCTTTTTACGTGGCTTCTAAGGGCTGGTTGACACTTCAACAAAAGCATAAACATAAGCATAATAATGATGCTTATGCATATATGTACGCCCGGTTCATACTTTGGATTTCACAAGCATAAGCATAGGCATAAGAAAATGGAAATGCTTACTTATGCTTGTGCTTATGCTTTGTGCAAGCCCTGTTCACGCTTGTGTTTAATTTTACGCTTATCTTTCTGCTTAGTGCAGTTTTCGTATGACTGTGAAAAGCTCAGTGCTGTAAGCGTGAGGTGCCGTGACCGTGATACTTTCTAGGATTTTAATTGGCTGTTTATTTTACGCGCAATGTGATTGGTCTGGCATTGCCGTGACCTTGGCGTGACCGTGTCCGCACCGTGTTTATGCCGTGTTCCGGGTATTTGATTGGATGGAGAGTAAATTCTTGTGCAATGTGATTGGTCTGGCGTATCCCTTGCCGTGTCATGGCCGTGTTCGTGCCGTGAATTTTCCACAGTCATACGAAAACTGCACTATGCTTATGTTAGGCTCCGTCCACACGTATCCGGAAATTTTTGTATCCACAATTTTTTTGTTTTTTCGGATACGAAAAGATGTTCGCGTCCAACACGCAGCGTATTCGAATCGTTTTCACTGTCCACACGTATCCGGAAATTTCTTGATCCACCCGGATGCACGCTAGTCCCTAGTCCCTTTGACGGATATGTTTTCTTATTGAGCATGCGCAAAATCCTGTTTACGTCAGCGCATTCGAAAATTTGCGGATACGACCGTCCACACGTATTCGTATTCTGAGCGTATTCGAAAATTTCCACTCTGGAGACCGTTTTCGAAAATTTCCGGATACGGATACAAAAATTTGCGGGTACGTGTGGACGGGGCAATAAAGTGTGGACCAGCCCTTAGTTCTAAAGTCGCTGATTCAGTATCAACAAGAGTCCATCGTTCTTCAAAAACTGATTACTAATCAAAAGTCAAAATGAAAATGCTTTTTTAGAGCTCATTATGCAAGAAAAGCTATCCCACTTGCAGAACTTTATTAAAATCTTTACTCATTGAAGCAGCAATTCGGATAAATCTCAGCATGATTTGAAGCTAAGACAATATTTCTAACCAACAATCATTTCTCTATAGTTAATAGAGGGGCACTATGATTTCTCAACTTTCACGAGTGTGTATTATCATCTTGTTCTTCAAATATTTTAGAATTGGGAAGTTACTGATACAAATAGAAAGATACCGAAGAGGAACTGTAGAGCCAGTGCGGAATATACTGATAAACATGTGTCACATGTTCACAAATTTAATGCTACCGCATTTATTTGACGGAAATGACGTCACCAATGTTTTGCATTAAAGACCATTTACTTATGAGGATACGGTAAAGTTTTTAGGAAAAAAAAGCAGGGATATGGGATATTCAGTCCTCTATCCCTCTTAATGGGCCCTCATAACTGTAAGCGGGCTGGTAGACAGCTGTCTAGCATTCATGGTAAGGATAAATAGGTAAGCTATAACATACGTGAGGGCAGACTGAAATAATTACATCACAACTGCAACTAATCAATACTAGGATGTTAAAATCCAAGTGTTAAACATCGAGCAGAAAGTTTAGTAAATGGGTTTAGCAGCTGTTTTATTGATGGCACGAGACGCTAAATGTTTATACTGATTTATTATTGTAACTCATTTATCTTCTTACTATCAGCTTTCTTTGTTTCTTTCTATTTTGTACTCCGTAAATCATTGTAAAATATAATCATCATCATTATCTCCCTAGATGAGTCGTTATGGCTCTTGGAGCAAACAATGAAAAAAACTTATGGTTACATATTGAAAAAAAGATGTATTTACTCATGAAGGCTCACTGTAACCCATGGGCAGAGAAACTTGGTGGCTGAGTGGAGTTAACTTTGAGTTTGGTAGGCATTAGTGCTAGTTTTGTTTATCAACCTTTATATTATATCTGTGACCTTGTGAGCGGCTCCGTAAGTATACTTTCATAGTAGGAACAGTCTTTTAAGCAACGTTGACACGATGGTAAATGAGTGCATGTTCAGTTTGATATAAAACGGGGTTATCAGGGTGGGGCTTGATCAGGTTTCCTATTCACTCACCATGATATTAGAGCTAGCGTTATTTACGACCCTTTTATTTAGTATGACCTTGGGAGCTTCAGCATCTTTCTCTAGTCCATAGCTTTTGTATACACACCTATTTCAAATAACGTTGTCGGTCGAAGATCTGAATTTTGAAACCGATTAGCACGTTCAAATTGTGATATACATTCACAGCCGAACGACGTAGTTTCCTTTTAGATTGGAATATGGACTCATGACTTAAGTAGAAATGGGATTTTTCGCATTTTAATAAAAATAATGAAAGCACAAAAATTCCGTTTAGTCCCAGATCTCTGACCGACGTCTTTTGAAATAGGTGTATTATGGAATTACTAACTCGTACGGTCCTAAATGGATGTAGAATGTGGAAGAGGGTGGGGTCTATGGCCCACTGCCGCCCAACATTATGGTCAACATTCTGGATTTTTTTTTGTCAAGAAACGCTCTAAATTAACTGCATTGCGTAGTCACGTCAGAAAAAATCTCTAATAATAATAACAAGTGCGAAAAAAACGTGTGCAAGACAGAAAACTCAGAGCTCCAGATGGGAATCAAAACCAGGAAAAGAACCCAAATTTTTCTAACCATATATTTTTATATATCATATATTTAATTTTTCTTTCGGTGTCATTTCTTTTATTTTTATTTTTATTTTTATTTTTAAATAACGATGGTAGTAGACTGTTTTGTTTGACAGGACAAAATTTTAAAATGCGTAGAATAACTTTGTTTAAAAAATTTGTTTAAAATAATGGGATGTCATACATCTGCAGAATATCCACTTGGTATACTACAAGTACGAAGATTTTTCATTTGATAGACAGGTAGACATCAATAACAGGATGCCTTAAACTTCTGTGCCTGTGTCCTAACCCCCAAGGTTCTGCTGCCATGAGTCTTTGACACGTACATGCCAAGATGTACTTAATTTCTCTTACGGCAGCCATGTTGGATGAATCAACCAGCATTCAAGTGCCTCGGGATGATGTTTCTATTCTATTGGGAAAACCTTTGTCTACCACCAGAAAAGAGATATACAGCTATTTCAAAAACAGTTACTGAAATTTTTATTGCATGTTGCATACCAAGCCTGAAATGCACTATGGGTGATGTAAATCAAATCAGTGAAACGTCACACAATTGATGATTCTTAAAAGTCATGTGCATGCGGGCTTAGCCTTTGCCTCGCCCCTAAAATAGAAAACAAAAGCGGAAATGATACTAACAAAAACAAATATCACCTGGATTTGAACTTTTAAGAATCGTGAATATAGATTTTAAAACTGAAACTGCATGTTCTTACTGCGTAATTTCTTCTGTGCAGACATTAATAACAAGCAGCATGCAACAAAACCTTTGCCATCCTTTTTTGAAATAGCTGTATATACTAGAGATGTTTAAAAAAAGTTACTGAAGTTATGCCAATCTACAAAATGCAAATGATATATATCAAAAGGACTATTTAGCAATTACTCCTTGAGCCCAAATGGGCTATGAGTCAATAGCCCATATAAGGCAGAAGGCTGAATGGGCTATTGACACATAGGCCATGAGTGCAGGAGGACTAATTGTTTTCGTCAAATACAACTAGTTGGACAAATATATAGATGCAAACAAGACTTAGTTTTGAATTATGGTAGTACTGGACAGAAAGAATTTATATATGATTTAAAAAAAAATCTAGTCATTAATCATTTATCAAATCTTCAGTTGCTTATTTAAAAAAGCAAAAAAAAGTGGGGGGTCACCAACTTGGTTCTCTTGTCATAAGAGATCGTAATAGAGAGTAATTCTAATTTGCATCGGTTTTTGCTCCAAATGGTAAAATGGTACACAATTCAGCACCTCAAAATATGTTCCTTGTTATTAATATGTTGAGAATTTGGTGTGATCCACAGCGTGGACAGTGTTTTTATTTCTCACAATGAAAGATTAACATTCAAAGTTATTGAATGAAAAGAAAAAAATAGGGGGTCACCGTACTAATAGACAGGCTCTAAGAGACTAAATCTTAATTTTCTGGGTTCTAATACTTTATATAATCCCTAAAAGCTTGTGAAATTGTCTTTGTAATATCCTGGGACCCTAAAACCAATTTTGAATGGGTGATAGACCCCTAGTTGGATTTGACTAACACATGTAATAAAAGTGACACAATTGTTTAACCTGAGTAATAGAAGATAGCAATAATAATTAAGGAAATATTTTAGAATGTTTATCAGTTACTGTTGAGTCTTGCCTTCTGTATCAAGTCTTCCTTGTTCAATGTCATTAAATGTAGGCAGACCATTAGGTATCTGAAGAAGGCCTTGTTCTTCTCTCATGATTCTTTCTGCTTCATCTAAAAATTTAGAACAACAGTAAAAATAAGAGTAATGGTAAAAGAGTAAATTTTACACCGTGAAATAAGGGACTGTTGTTCAATAATGAATTCAATATAGGAGAGCATTCAAAATGTTGGGGGGAAACAGGGGATCCTGAAAAAAATTAGACATACGAATGATGGGACTGGAGAACTTTCTATTTTATTTTCTTGCCCATACCCTCCCCCTCCCCCCTGAAAAATAATGAATGGTCCCTAAGGAAGCAAAATTATTTCTGGGAATGATAATGATAGTTATGGAAACAATATATAATAGTCCATTTATGCCCAGTAAATCAATCAAAAAACTTTTATGTTTTATTCTAGGTGCCATACATTTTAGCTTTTATCAGTGAGTGGAATTGGGGCGCAACAGATAGATAGAAGCCTTTATTTAATGAAAAAATTAAGGGTCAACATGGATCAACAAAAATTTAGAATTCTAAAAAAGACAAATCTTGACCAAACACTTTCGTGCATCTAAAGTATTATGCATCAGGGGTGGATCCAGGGGAGGGATGCAGGGGTGTGCACCCCTTCCTGGTTCGACTTTGTGCCTCTACTTTGAAGATAATCAATACTGTTTTTTCCCTTTGATTCTAAGGGGTGCACCCCTCCCTGGGTTAACTTTGTGTGCAGAACCCCTCCCTGAACAAATCCTGGATCTGCCCTGATGCATCTCTAAGTTCATCATATATACAGATGTGCAGAAAATATTTCCCAAGTCCATCCACACATACACTGTATTATATATCTCTAGTATAAAAAATTGCCATTGGAAAATTGATTGCCAATGGAAAATTTACTACCCTGCGAGCAGAGTCTCCTTTTAACTCCTCTACGGGCGAGAGAAGGAAAGGAGACTCTGCAGAAATCGTGTACAATTTTATTTGAGCATGCGCAGCGGTTGCTAAGAAACTAACTCGTTCACAAGCTCACTCGTTTTATAAATGGTTTCCGGTTCCTGTACGAACACGATTACCGCTTAAAACATGTTTTTAGAGTCATGACCTCAGTGAAAGATGATCTCGTGTTCTTCTTTCACTGCTTCAATTTCATCAAGCTTAGCAGTTTGAAGCACTATTTTTTCACAAGCGGAAATTTGGTCGCTCATCAGTGCCTGGAGCGGAGTTATTGCCACCAAAAGAGGATTTTTAGGGTATCGACTAGCGTTTGGATCGATTTCTTGAAGATGTTTGATCATCGGAGTTACAAGCTGGAAAATAAGTGACTTTGCATGACCTGTCGGCAGCGAAACAAACGGGTCTTTGGCATCCATAAAACTTTCTAGCGATTTCCTTTGATGAGTAATTGGTTGAAATTGATTTTTGTTTTGATAAAACGTGATATAGATCGCTTTCGAAATTACAGTTTGGGATACGATGCGGGCTCAATTTTGGTCATCGGCCATATTTTTTAATACAGACTCGCGCATCAAAACCAGTTTAAACCAGTATGAAACCTGAAATTATGCATCTCATTATCCAGATTCTTGGATAACGGCACTACAAAAGAAATACACGATTTCTGCAGAGTCTCCTTTCCTTCTCTCGCCCGTATAGGAGTTAAAAGGAGACTCTGCTCGCAGGGTAAAAATTTACTTGATAGATCGCTAAATGATTTGATAAAAAAATTATTGGATGGACTTGTACCAAGTCACACTCACTAACTCACTAGGGATGCATGAGGGACCTTAAGAAAGTCTAGCTCTATTAATAAGATCCAAAAAAATCAAATTAGACTGTAATTCCTAATTTCCCTTGTGAACCTCATCACCTCTTTACAGTTCAACTACTAAAACAATCATATTCCAACTTTGGGTAGTTGAGCAAATCAGAAATCTAGATGCACAAGAATAGTAATTTGACACTGATGTTACAGTATGTTTGGCTCCATTACCCAAAGTTGGAATGTGATTGTTTTCATTCTACAATTTGATTGGTTCTCGCTGTCTACTAGGTAACCATGGTTATAGTAGTTGCAAGCACCACAAACATTTTCGGGACATACAGTATATTTTAACATGCTCAGGAACTCACCTCTTATTCTCTCTATTTTATTGCCATATACATAATCTGCCTGATAACCAACAATGAAGGACAATGGAAGAAATGGTGCAATAATAGAAGGATTCTTTGTCTTCATATACCTATTCAAATAAAATAAATAAGATATTTTGTTTCTATTTTAGAGCCATAATTAGGATTTGGATATATTTTTTTCCAAATTGAATGAATGTTTCTAAATTTCAGCTCCACAAAGAGGGGGTACTTAATTTCTAAATTTCTCACCCATTACCCCTTCTATAAATAACGAACAGACTACATCCCTGAAGGCTGATTTACACAGTAAAACTGTTACAGTACAATCTGTAGATGACATGAATTGCTGTGCAAATTAACAGCACAGCATGCTTATGACTGCAAATGGCAGCTAAAACTTGGAGTAAGCATGTTATGTGCAACAACTGCGAGCAAAATTTCCCAGGGGGGTACTCATTTAGGGTAGGGATGTGCCGCTGAGCCCTCTGAGCCCTGACCCTGTTCCAGAGTAAAATCGCTGAAAACCATGCCCTGTTTGGCGGCACGTACCTGTATAGCGAATATAGGGGAGTACCCCTCCCCCCGAGCAAAATTTGTACCATGTAAATTTGGCACTTATAGTGCTTCCTCCTGTCACCCAATAAATTTGTTCCCATCTTCTTATACAAGTTTACTAGTGTAATAGGAATGAGATATGATATCTTGGGGTAATGGACTATTTTATTGTGTATGAGCCGTTAATTTTTTATGAAACTATGTATTTACTAGGAAAATTGTGTGGTAGGAATAAATGTCTTGTATCTTGAACTGCATGTTGCCCTGCATCTTGTTCATGTAAATGTACCTATCCTTCTCATGCCTAAATGGCACAGTGCCTCTCGCACATGCACTGTATCTTATGTGAAATGGCTGTACCTTTACAATATTCCTAAGTGTATTAAATAGGAGGTCTTGGTTCCCTGTTTTCATTTTATATTTATTATCATAAATGGGGCTAAATGTATTCAGGCAAGGTTAAACTTGAGGCTAGCTCATCAGCAGTCTTGCTACGGTTAAGGGGGCCCCTGAATATGGTTGCAGTGGCCAAACATTTGGCTTATATTAGCATTGCTGGCAATTGCCTGCTCTTTTGCGGTCATTTGTGCTCATTTTGATTGGTGGTGCAAGTTTGTTAGTCTCTTCCTCCTAATTCTTTCACTGACTAGTGTAAGTTTGACAGGTGGCAGGTGTCAGCAGCGTACAACTGACCATGCTACCCATAATAAATACCAAAGGAAAAAAGTCTCTGCTAACAGGGAAGGCCTAGGACTCATGATAATGGCCAGACAATGAGCAATGTCCCACCAGAACTGGGACATGTCTGGTCAAATCTTTGCCTTGCTAGTCACTTTCACCAGTATTGTGTAGCCAGAAATGAGGTATGACTAAGCTAAAATCAGGGACGGTGGAGCAGGGGGGCTGGAGGGCTATGATACCCCCAATAATTTTGCCGCCATTTTGAATTTTGTGCAATATTTCCATAAATTTAGTGCAAAAAATATGTTTCCAATGTGCCTCAAAAGGCTGGAAATCGCATTCCCGAGAGTCTTGATGTCACAATTTCTAGGGGGCAATGCCCTCAGACCTGCCTAGTTGTCCCCTCCTTTGGTGGCCGATAGCCCCCCCACCCCCTACCGGCAAATACAAAATATGCTCAGCGGTCCCTGAAAACTGATTTGGCCTGTGATCATGACCGGCAATTGATCAGCTGTTATTTCAAGCCCTAAGGCTAGTTTATGGTTATGTCACTCTCTCACGCCTTCAGTGACACAAAACGATTAAAGGACGTCGTTACCCTGCAAACATAGCTACTGTAGCCAGGCCATAAAATGATGCAATCCAATTGAACATCTCTCTTGATCCTGAAAGCATGGTTGCCATTTGACGCTGCTGCATTTGCCTTTGCATCTGTATTTGTCTTCCTAACTGTAAGAAGAGAATACAATTCAATCTTTTCTTCAATTTTTTCTTCGTGATGTACAAAAACTCTGCTGTTTTTGAGGCTAGTTTGAATTTGGGTTTTGCCTCTTGTCAGTCAGAAGTTTAAAACTGGTGAATCTCTAATTTTCACAAAGCTTACCACTATCTTTTGATTTTCCGCCATAAACTGCTGATTCTTTTTCATATTTTCGTCCATAGCAGTTCCTAATACTGACCCCATTTTTTCTGTGTAAAAAGTCAATATATAATTAGTTTGAGGTGGAGTGATGCACGCGAACTTTGACAAGTAAGCAGTTGCAGTTTCTCATTTTCGATTATGAAAAACGTTCAGTGAAATCTTCTGTTTCGTACTAATACATGAAATAATGCTAATAGTAACCTTATGAACCAAAAAACACTGTAAAAACTCAACGAAAACAGTGCACGACTTTCGCTTTCTTTTCTTGAATGGTAAGTGTTGTGTTTGCATTGATAGCAAGGAAGGCGTGACGGCGTGACATTGAACCAACGAGGGAGGGGAAGGTCAATACATGAATCATTACGATTTTTTTTAAATAACAAAATTCACCCCTATAGAGACAAAATTATATGAATGTCATTTGAGATTTCTATAAATTTTTTGAATTTTTGAAAAGCTATATACTAATGAACAATAAGATATGTTTCTAAAATGAATACGCACTGGGGTGGGGGTAGAGTTTGGTGTAGCTTGCGTGGCACCTCAGCTGATAAGAATTTTGGTAGCCGCTCTCTTGGTAACCAGGCATTCAAGATGGCGTCGAGAAAGAGAAAAATCCAAGATGAAGTCGAAGTCAATGAAAACAGACCTAAAAACACACCAGAGAAAAAAACTAAAAAGGTAGACTGCTTCGTAATACTCCCAAAACACTGAATGTTTTAAATAATATCTATTTTTTGCTTAGTTATTGGATAAATGTGGCATGAACGAAGGCATGGATTTGCACGTGGTACAGTTGCTTTCAAAACGACTTGAAAATTTCTTGTATCATTTACTAAAATGTTCTTGTATTTTTTTCCGCGGATGTTGAAGCATTGTGAAGCATTCGGGGATTCCGTTTTCTTAACCCTTTGATCGTAGTTAGCCGTTTCATTTCATTATTGGTTTCTTTGATAATATAAACATGGCCAAATACGTACCATTTGTATCTGTTGAAACACCAGGAAAAATGGACCAACAAACAACGCGTTCTCGTTTTCTGTGGTCGTGGAATAACACACAGGTAATAAACCTTGATAATAATTGTAGCAATTCTTGGGGTGCGTGTTACTTCATACCCGCCATTTTTTTTGACGATAACAAAGCATTCCTCATGTTGGGAGCTACTCTTGTTAGATCAAACAACTCTCATTTAAAAAAAATAACAGCTGGTCGTATGGCCAGTATTGGAACTTGTCCTATCAAATCTTGTCCTTGTCAGTCATTTCGACCAGTAATGTTGAGCCAGAAAAGAGGTATGACCGAGATAAAACTAATTTGGCCAGTCATTATGACCAGTGTTTGGCTAGCCATTATCTTTAGGCTCATTGTACTGAATTTGCTTTGCATAACTAATACTTGTACCCCACTTTTAAGTTGCTAATATGCTACAAGTTTTCTGAATTGCAATTTGGCTTATGATTGTTTTGTAGAGCAAGACATTTGATGTTGGACCTGAGAACATTGCTTCCACACCACAAAGCAGGTATTAATATTATTAGGATAAAATTATACAGTCTTACCCCTCACCTTCAGGAGACCTTGCATGGTATTCACTTAATAACGGCTGTCCTCTGAATAGCCATTTGTTTTAGATTAAGCTCTGGCATGGAAATGAGAAGTCAAGAGCCATCATTAATTTATTTTTATTTAACGTTTTCTTCTTAACATTTTCTTAATAGACACAAAACTTGACAGAAAGGACAAGCTCTTTATAATCAATGAGGTAGGTCTGTGTAGCAAAATATTTATTTTATTTATTGAAACAATATTCGCCAAAGGCAGGTAAAAATACAATATCTAGAACAAGACAGTAGTCCCCTACAAGGTGTACAGTGTTATCACCATTGGACTTCCTGTGGCTTTAGTGCCAGCACAGGAAAAAAATTAAATGTGGGGCTAAAATATATATTTTTTGTATGCATGATAATGCATGATAATGGTCAAAATGAAGTGACAATTAAGAAATCTGAGAAACACTTTGGTAGATCAACATGTGAAGATTAAGTAACAGCAAAAATATAATCCATTTACTTTGATTGAAGGGAAGTGAAGCTGTTACATTCTCATAAAACAAATGATGATTTCAAAAATAACCAATACGTTCATGGGCAAAAGATCTCATTGTCAATTTTTTTTAAAAATTTCGAATGATGAAAGTACATCATACTAGAAGTATAAAATGTTATTGGGGTACAAGTCTTTGTGTTAAATGAAATTCTATTCTAATTATGCACAAAATATGTAATTTTGTTTTGACCCCATTGTCAGATTTAAAAACGTTTTCCTCTAAGGTTGATTATTACCAAGTACTTTCAAAAAAACAAAATAAAAAGGGGGTCCTCTTGCTTATCAAAACATTGGAATGACGTCATCACAATAAGCGTGCGCAGAGAAAGGATGCGTGCGAACAATGGGCATGAACATCTAATTTTGGTCACAAAGTGTGGGGCTGTAGAATAATTGTTAGGGCTTCTTGTGTGTAGTTGTACCACAGTTAGTCCAATAGTATTGTATTTTTCCATTTCATTTATGTATATTTTGCCACAAATCAAACTAGTGTATTTGTTCTTGACTACATAACTATAAACTGTTTCCAGATGACTATTTTGTGTTATCTTTTCAAGGTTTGTGAGATGAAGAACTGCAACTCATGCATATACCTGGAAATGAGAAAGAGAAAGGACCTTTTTATGTGGTATGTTTCATTTGATTTATCAAGTAAAAAAAGTCAACCAAGTAAAAAAAATTGGCCAAGTTAAAAAAAGTTGAGCACTGAAAAAAAAAGTCGACCAAGTTTTAAAAAAGTCGCCAACGAAAAAAAGGTTGCCCAGCTAAAGAATACCCTGGACCCAGAGGCTCGACAATTTTTCTCCCAACTGCGTATATTTTGAGCCGCAAAGTGGCGAGTGAGATGCGAAGCAGCGAGTCCTAGTCGGAGCCTCTGGTAGGGACCGCATACATCCTCATTTTCATGCTAAATCAAAGTGTCAATCAATCAATAGAACTAACCAATCACAAAAGAGATCCCCGTGGCTCTTTTAGTATTTAGGGAGGGGAGGTTGTAGCTGACCAAAATAACTTTGCGGAGTCCACCTAAGTGTTTTTGTCACGTATACACGTGTCCAAATATGTCAAAGTGACAGTCCGGTGTTTACATTCAGCAACACGAATGACAATTATTCCAAATTGTGAATGAAATTCAAACAAAAATACTCCATTGGAAAGCGCAATCTCACATCCTTCAAAGTTCTGTTGACTTTGCAAATGTAGTATTACATCTGGAAGTCCAAGAATTCACCTCTTTGGCCCAAAGCCTCGCAACGAAAATCTTGTGAAACAACTAGCTGTTGTTCTTGACGCCGAGGTTCACGTTCACAACAGACTTTCTGAATTTTTTCGTTAGAAGTGTTACCGCGAATTTGTGAAGCTTGAAAAGGTTATACAGCAAAACAAACAACTTGATGTTTTTAGACAAATATATAAACGATCTACTGAGGAGGAACTTCTGAATTTAAAAAGCGATCGTCGATCAAAAGCGATGTAACAAGGATTCGCCGTCTGAATACAAAAAGAAACCGAGATCTTCCAACCAAAATACAAGCTTTATACCGACTGCTAGAAGAACATTACTGCCAAAGACATTAAACTACGATAATCCCTTAGAGAACGTCAGTTTCATTCCTCTTGAGGATTCACAGAATCAAGAACTGATTCTCGATACATGTATACAAAGTGACATATAAAGATAATGAGCAATGTATACTYGTACCTCCCTACCCTTCATTACAAATAATTTAGCCAATCACAAACTGGACTTCAAATCAGCCAATCAGTGAACCAGAACAATTTTGAGCAATCTGTAATTCTATTGGTGCGGCCTGATCAATCAACTATGTGGTTCCTACTAGAGGCTCCTACGAGGTCTCACCGGTCTCACTGCTTCGCAGCCTGCTTGTCGCTTTGTGGCTCAAAATATACGTGGAGAAAAATCATCGGGCCTCTGGGTCCAGGGTACTAAAGAAAAGTTGATGGTCCTAAATGGGCTCCACATTGAAACCTTCGGATGTCAACAAGCATAAGGACACAGGGAGCCCAATCTCTGGAAAGTTCAACTAGTATCCATGGTTGGTCTTTGAATGCATTATTCAGTATGCAGTATTCAGTATTCAACCTTTTTGAAATAGCTGTATAAAACCCATGCCTTCTCCAGAAAAGTGATTGTTTTTTTTCTAAATATCAGTTTTTATAGGCAGTATTCTGTATCTATTCAACCTTTTTTGAAATAGCTGTATAAAACCCATGCCTTCTGCAGAAAAGTGATTGTTTGTTTTTAAATATTGTTTTTTTCATTTTTTTATTGTAACTTTTAGGTTTTCCTTTGCCCCTCATGGCCCTTCTGCTAAGTTTTTAGTTGAAAATGGTAAGTACAGTGTAGGTAGATGATGAAGTAGTTTACTGTAGCTTTGTTCCACCTCATACTAGAACTCTGAATAGGACGTTCACATGATGGCGTCATTGACCTCTACTACCAGACTCCCTTGCACACTTTTTTGTTCAGTTATTTAGCATCAATTGTCTTACTATTCTCATGAGGGAATACAAATTTCGATAATTTCACTGTACTTTTAGGGAAGCACGGGTGGCGTAGCGGTGAGAGCGCTCGCCTCTCATCAATGCGACCCGAGTTTGAGTCCCAAGTTTGAGTCCCGAGTTCAGTGTTGCATATGAGTAGAGTTATTTGTTGGTTCTCTCCTGTGCTTCGAGGGTTTTCCGGGTTCTCCGGTTTTCCTCCCTCCGCAAAAATCAACTCCTAAATTCTAATTCGATCATGGAATGAGGGCCACAGGTTTGTTAACCACTGGCTATTAAGTGCTACCCTCATGAAAAAAGGACGTTATTTCTTCTTCTTCTTCTTCTTCTTCTTCTTATTATTATTATAAGAAAGAAAATTCATGAGGCATCTTGGTAGTGGAAGTTTGAGAACAATCTTGATCTTTAACTAAAGTTTTCTTGTCTTCCAGTTCATACAATGGATGAATTAAAGATGACAGGAAATTGCTTGAAGGGGTCAAGACCAATTCTGTCATTTGATCAGGTACTATGAAGACAATATTTAACCAGTAGATCTAGAGGCTGCTATAGCACATGCAGTAAAACCATGAAATAAAAGCAAAGTTGATAGTGACAAATAGTAGCTATTTAGTGACTAATAGTTGCTATCACTCAACCAATTTTTAGCAATAGGTTTTGTCACTTGCTCTATTGGATTGTCCAATAGATTTCTAGTTGGCAATTTCATTCATTCATCTATCCATCCATTCATCCATTCATTCTTTCTTTCTTTCAGTCCGTCATTCATTCATTCATTTGTTTATTCATTCATTCATTCATTTATAGCACTAATCTGAATAATCATTTCACTTAACTTATTCATATCATCTATAACGTTCTAAAACTCTTAATTATTTATTTACTGAAAGATTTATTTTTTCATTTAGCATTTTGACAAGAAACCAGAAACTCAGCTCTTAAAAGAAATGTTTATTCAAGTAAGTATATTTTCTGCCCCCGTTATCAGCAGTAATGCAGCAGTGTTTTCTTAGGTGGCAAAAGAAAAATAAATAATAAAGTATAAAGGACGCCACACAAACACCCAAAAGCTTATAATAGAAACGTCTCAAATCAACTATCCACACTTCCGATCGTGTGGTTTCTAGACTGACCAGGGTTTAAGGACCTAAGTTGCAGGTACTGTTTGCACATGTCCTTTCTACGCATGAATTTAGTGTGTGTGCAAGTTCGCTTTCAATGATACATGGATACTTCACTTAGTTCCATTCATTTATTCAATCTTTCTTTCATGTTTTTAGATATTCAGTACTCCTAACTACCACCCAAAAAGTAAACCATTCATTGACCATATTATGACGTTCTCTAAACTAGATGATGATAGAATATGGGTTAGAAATTTCCAGGTGAGATTATAGTTTATAGGGGGGATTGGAGTGGTGGGATCAGGGGGTCATTAAAAAATCAGGATAAATAGGGGGTACACACGAAAGAATTAGAGTCACACAGCACTTTGAACTTTTAAAATAAACAATGCTTTGAAAACATTGGAGGCTGGGGCAAATTTATTATGCAACAACAGAGACGGGGGGGTCAGATTTCCTTTCTCCCCCTTCCAACCCCAATAAAAGATGAATGTTCTCTTAAAACCAATGGCTAACAAACCTGTGATCCTCGTTCCATGAAAACAAAATTAAATTGTAAAACTTAATTATTTTGGAGGGAGGAAAACGGAAAAGCCCCATGAAAAAAACCCAAAGCACATAAGAGAACAAACATGCAAATCTAATCTACTTTCATATGATAGTAATTTTGGAAAGTGAATGTGTAAACACAGGTGCAAGAGGCGGTGCATGAGTAGTGCACGCCACTTACGCATTCCTCCAATGATTAACATAAAAATGAATGCTTTTTATTGACAGATTGTAGAAGAAGATGGAACCTTATTGGAAATTGGTAAGTAAAAACGAGAACCGTAAACCACCCCTACCCCCCCNCCCCCCCCCCGCTCCCTCGCTCCCTCCGGGAAAAAAAGGGTCAATAATTATCCTCAGTTTCAGCACTTAAAGCAAGGGAAAATCCGGATTTTTTTTGATGAGGAAGTGGTCTTATAGTCTGAGGATGCTTCTCTTCCCCCTCAAGAAACGAAAGTCCCTAGTCTCTACCATCTAACACTGTATTCTGATTGGCTAATATTGCGACGTGGTTGAACTAGAACCGGAAATAGCTGAGAACGTCAGCTCTCTGTATGTCGAGGATCTATTCATTAGGCTTTTTTTGTTACTCCCTTGTCAAAGAAATAAAATATTTTAAATAAAATATTGATTTTATTTAATGAATTACTAAATGAAATGGTGGCTTAGAAGGCATGCCACGTGCGCAAGCGACACGATCTGTTTACGTGCATTTATTCTTCTATTAAGTGTATTTATTCTTCTATCACGTGCATTTATTTTCCTATCACGTTCATTTTATTTTCCTATCACGTGCATTTATTATCGTTTCACGTGCATTTATTTTCCGTTCACGTGCAATTCTTCGCGCATTTATTTCAATAGTTAACGAAATAGACCTTGGAAATATGTCCCTAAAACAGTCCTACAATGCACTGCAATGTCAACTCGACCCCATTTTCTCCTCAACTTCGGAACGGATAATAGGCCCTCCGGGTCGAAACCTTAAAATAGCAGTTTAATTAAGTCAAATCCGTTTTCACTATCTGAGAATCCTTTCCTACTAGCGACCTAAGAGAGCTTTAGTTTGGTAAACACTTATAAATCAACCTTGACTATCTCTTATCTATCTCACACCAGATGACTTCTAACGGATCTATCTTTACTTTCGCGGTTTCCTTTAGTGTCATGTTCTCTTGTCTGGTAAACATCCATAGAAAACCAGCAACTCTGTCTTATCTCTCTTTAACACTAGTAACACTAGATGATTTCTATAGGAATTTACACTTAGGGACGGACCATTAGATAATTGAGGCGGAAGGGGTTGCGTAAATCCGAAAAAAATCGAGCAAGTACTTTACCTACGAAAAAAATATCGCGTGCAGGGGTTGTTACAAAAAAAATCATCCTGTAACATAAATTGCTGCAGCCCCCCACCCTCCCCCCGTCCCCCAATTATCTAATGGTCCATCCTTTATTAAAGCGGCTTCGTCTAATGTCTAAACATTTTAAGTTGATAGGGTAAACATCTACAGGGAATCAGAAACTCTTAAGTCCATTTACGCCCACTACTCTAGCCACTACAAAAAAACCCTTATTTTTCTTATATTTTCGCAAGGAGGTTTTAGCGTTAAAACATCTTGAATTCATGTTTGTTGTACATTGTTGAGGCTTTTTCTTTGTGTCATTCTACCACGATTTCGCGTTGTTGTTGGCAGGGTAGATAGAGGCCGCTTTTTGAGTAAATTTTTCGTGTTTATAGTAACAATTCTGTAAGAATTGCTGGTTTTCATAGCCGTCTTCTTAGTTGAATTTAAAAAAATATTTGTCATCAGTCTCTTGTTATATCAACCAATATGGACGCCGTGTCTTTTGTCATTTCACTCGCTTAAGAAAGATATTGAGAAAAAGCAATCAGTGTGACGAGGAGGGGAGGGGAAAGGGGTGACTTCACAAAAATATCGCAATTTATTGTTATGAACAGAAAAACCCACTTATTCTTGTAATAGTTACTAATTTTGTATATTATCCCCACTCTATCTTTGCAAAAAAAGTTAACACCATTGCTAATGCCCCCGTTTCCCATATGCTGCCATTGAATTGGAGAATTACTGTTTAGTGTAATATTGTTTACCTCTACCTCCTTCCTTTCTACAAGAGATCTATTTTTTCCCTCCTTCCTCAGTGCGCAATCGATTTTCTAGGAAGCATAGCTATAGACCCCTTGCATCAATCTGGGGGTCAAAATAAAAGAATTCCCTCCTCTTGAGGATTGAAATCTTTTCAGTCGTTAATATGTTCAATAGTTTTGACCCTCAGGTAGGGATTTAGTGCAAGGGGTCCACATGTAGTTTGATATTGATGTCCACAGGGCCTCGATTTGTTCTTAACCTGGTCAGGATATTTGAAGGCAGCTTTGGAGGACCAACACTTTATGAGAATCCACACTATCAGTCTCCTAATGAGGTAAGATTCAATGGAAAATGGCAAGGAAATGTCATCAGTTTGAGACTGAAACAGTTTCATTTTTCATCACTACATTCCCACTCTTTCAAAATTTCCATTTCTTCACCTATCTGTCTGTCTGTGTGTCTGTCTGTCTGTCTGTGTGTCTGTGACAACTCACGTGAAAGAATGCTAAAAATTTTTCCCTTTCGCCTCTCACAGCATCGACGCCTCATAAGACGCGAAGCAGCCCACAAATACCTCGACAGAGTGGAATCAAAGCAATCCCTTGAAGTGCGACGCGAAGCCAATAAAGATATTCCCCGTGATGAGGAAGACGTGGACGACATATTCCATACTATAACCCAGTCGGACATCGACAAAGCGAGGGCTAATTCCAAAAAGACAATTCAGAAATAAGATTCCTCAATGAAATCCTTTTGTTTTCTTAAGAAATGAGCAGTCAAACAGGATTTATTTTTAATATCTCAATGAACAAATACATAAAGGTTGTTTCTTCGTCTGTGAGAGATAAAGATGGGGCGAAGATCAACGACCTTGTACAAGAATGACGCGCAAAGACTCAAAACTTGGTTATGGAATCTTGAGTTTATTTACCCAAAGCCATCATACGAAATACCTCAAGTGACTACTTTTTGCTGGTTAAGAAATATAATAACTCTCTGTTTTGTGGTTAGAAAACTCTTTTGTTCGTTGTAAAGCTCCACCCATAGACCGAGCTCTTCTGATATTCTTTCACAAACGCGACATTCAGGAAACCACATTTTTTCTAGGGAGGAATCTGGGATATTTTAGTGTTTTTCTTTCATCTGTCGACAAGGGGATCGGATCTTGAAAGGGGTCGACTTGAGACCAAGAGACGCCGCTTTGATTGTCATGGTTTGAATATCTGCAGTTTCATTCCTCAAATTCTGACCCCACAGTGTATTTAGTTATAATCGCTTCAGTTGAATTGGTAAAGTTTTTATTTCTGTTCTTTTACTAGTAAGTCTGGAACGATCTTTGCAACCAAAATATTTTGACGATTTGCTCTCGCTTCAACTACCTACGCAGGCTGACAAAAAAAATCCGTTTGAAAAAGAGGCTGTTAACTTTACGTCTATTTATGTATTTGCTACTGAAACTGAATTATTTTCTTTTTGATTCATCCCATTGATAGTTTTTTTATGAATGTAATTCAGTGCTGAACAGCGATTAAGCGGCGGGGGGGGGGGGGGGGGAGTGATCTGATCTCAAGAAGCCTATCTATTTTAAAGCAATAACCGATTTAAAAACATTGGGCCGCCCTTTTACAATGGTGCTTAGAGATTTTCAAAACGGATGGAATTCTCTGCAAACTAATCAAATCATAACAACATTTCGGGTACCAGCAGTTTCACGATCCGCCTTTGCGAACTCTAAAAAAAAAAATAAAGAAGTAAACTGGCATTCAAACTTGGCATGAATAGCCTGGCCACGGTTATATGAGTCCTCATGTCTGCTTGCCAAAATAATAGATTATAAAAGATTTCATTTTAAATCTATAGTTTTAGAATTGAAAAGAAAGACTACCTTCTTGATGCTTGGCATTCGGATACTGAGGCAAAAGAGGCCATGATGATATCTTTAGTTTAAACTGACAGGACGCCAAATTTTCATTTTTTCCTTCCGTGCATGATAAACGAGTTTCCATGGTCTGACTATCGCCTGATCCGAGTCATGACGAGGGAATAAATTAATAATTTTGAAGATATTTTTAGTAAAAATTAAATGTAAAGACGGTTTTTAAAACGTAACAATTACTGTGTAATAAACAATATGTAGTAGTAGCATGAATGCATAGAACTTTTACTGATGAAGACTCGCAAATTTAAAATTCCGCCAAAAATTTGGAATCTAATGGGAAGAAATGGTAAGAATAAACTTTTTAATTAATTCAAAAATACGTGTAAATATCAAAACTTTGGACTGAATGACACATTCACGAGCTCCGAATTTCATTTTTTACAGTAATTGTTGGGTAAAAAAGGAAGATGAACAAAAAGGAAATAGAGGCTGGCCAGCAACTTTCGAGCAAAACCTTCGTTTTTTTAATGCGGTGATGAAATCGTATTCTTATCTTGCTTTAATAAGTCTTACTCGAAACTCAGCCTTCGTGTTTTCCATACGCAAAATCGTTTAAATTTTTGTCGGGGCAACTTCAATACTTCCCTGACGGGAAAAAATACTTAGCATATATCAACTTTCATCAAGGAAGCAAACTGGAATGTAGTTTTCAAGCACGAGGAAATGAAAAGATGCCATATACTTCGTAGAACTGAACAAAAACTTTTCAGCGAGAAAGATGAAAAAAGAACCAAATATTTTGTTTCTTGATTGAAAATTTAAATGAAATATTATATAATTGACATCGTACGATTTATTTTACCGGAAGTAAAATAAGCTGATGACGTCAAGTGGCGTGATGCCTCGTGTGTTGGTTCTATCTGATGAGTTTACAGTATATGTAAATGACAGTTGAGCGGGCATCCATTCACTGCACATCGTAAATCAAACATGGCCAGAAAAACTGCCTATATTTTCACATTTCTGCTCGTTTTTGTCGTTTGCTTACCAAGAATACAAAGTGCAGGTATGTATTTATCCAGCGAGTATAAAAACTCGACCAATGCTTTGAAATATTGGCGGCAGTTTTTGGTTCAAATGTAGTACTATAGGTTATTCATTCACTACCACACACCACACACGCACCTCGGCAGTTTTGAAGCAGTTTTGAATTACCGAAAAAATCCGCCAAAACTGACGGCGCAAATCCAATGTAGTTATTAGTTTCTTCAATGGGAATATTCGGTCTCTTCGAAGAAGAGCCCAAGATTGAATCGTTTTAAGCATTTTGCCTATCGTTTGGGTTAGATTTTAATGAATATTTTAACGGCTACAAGATAGCCAACTCCCGCCTTGCCTCTGAACACACCCCACCAGAATGTCAAAAAGAAATCTCCCTTTTTTGCACCCCTTATGCTAAATAAACAAATTTTTAAAGCTCAAGATTAGATCTTATTTTAAATAATAAATTTTAAAATATTAACAGTTTATTGAAAATGAGGACCTGACGTTTTTAATCGAGTATTTTTGGTTGCTAGGTTTTCCTTGTGCACCTTCTCAATTCACCTGCGCCAACCAAAGGTGTATACAGGAAAAATGGCGGTGCGACGATATGAACGATTGTGGAGATGGATCAGATGAAAAAGGATGTTGTAAGTTTGATATCTAAAGAATTATAAACGCTTCAAAGAGAAAAGTTTGAACCTAGATTTTGCCAAGGCTTCTTTTGTCTGTGTTTTAACCTCCCGTCGTCCATGTGTTTAAACATCAAGCTTTACTCCCAAATCATCAAAACTTTGGAATGTTTATCAATGGATCTAATAAAATACTATTACTACTATGAATAAGGATTATTTGAACTTTCGTTTCGCCATATTCTTCTCTTTATTTACATGCCATAATCCAGTTTTGGTCAACTTTGCATCACTTGAATTGAGCTCGTTGTAGTATCCGAATCAGCAGATTCTCTGCTGTAACGTTTATTTTTAGGTTTATTGACGTATTTATAATAAAGAAATGGGATCCTGGCAAGAATCTAAAAGAGTAATCCTTTACGTTCTTTGGAACGTGATTTTCAAATGTACAAATGTGTACGATTATAGATTCTTTTGTTTTTGTGTTTCATCGAAAATTCAAATCACGAACGTGTTCTATCTCTCAAGGGAACGCCGTGCAAAAAACAATTGCGCCAAAAGCTTTTTCCTTATAAAAAATCCATTTTAATCGTTCAAACCAACTGAAATATTAGAATTAAAGATTTCTGGGTGTTTCAATTTTTATTTCAGCGCTTTTTATAGGCAAATTCAGAGAATATTGGCTTTTTTTTGCTTTTGCCGGTTGAATGTATTCGTTTAACCGGCTGACGGGGGCGGTTATGAAGGCGTATCGATTAGGCACGACCTGATTGGTCCATTTAAACGTATGATTCTAGTCTATTTCCAGCCATATGTTTTATTTATTATTATGCTCTTACTGTTACCAAGGATTCAACTCAAGTTTGTTTGCATCTTTTCTTTTGTTAATTATTTCCTGTGAAATCCCAAGAACTACTTTATTTTCTTTATTCTAAGAGTTAATGTTTGGTTTTATTGTGAACATAATTGGCACTTGTCACTCCAAGAATACAAGGGAAAAAGAAATGTGCTAGTCGCAAAATAGCAGAAAAAAATCACACTTGCAACTTAGTTTGCTACTCTTGAAACAATTTTAGTCAAAAAAATTATTTATTTGTCTATAAAGGTATTTTGTCTAATGCTACTTCGACCGTAGATGCTAAATATTGTTTTCATCATGACAAAATAATAATGTTATGAATTCTTTTCATAGTTTTATATTCAAACAAAAGTAATTAAATATATCCATATTCAGTGCAGATATTTGTCATACTTGATTTTGAAGTTCGAATCTATTTGATAAATGAGTCTAGGAAGAGTTTCATAACTCTAATAAAATACATGTATTCTAATAGGATTAACTGTCGTATATATATATACTAATAGTGGAACTGTTGATTTGAATATGGCATCTAAGCGTTATGCTTGGCTTAAGATGAAGGCCTGATTTTTTTTGGTAGAATGACTAGCAGCTATGTCAGTGCATTAAAGAATTCCAAAACAGTCAGTTTCATGCTTGTTTACATATTGTCTTGTTTTTAGATTCTTTAATTGTCTATGTTATCTTCGTTTCTTGAGGTACATGTTTCCTGACGAAAGCTCTAGGTTAATTAGTCTTGCACCAATAAGCAGTATTGAAGGCATTGAGCCCTTTTGTACATGCAATCAACTTGAACAATTAATATTTACTCAATATGTTCCCATCTATAACCGAACGTCTTAAAGATGGATTATAGCCCTTGATCAAGTCTGATAAGCAATGGTCTACATACTTTGTTTGATGTAAAAAGGCATAAATTCTAATAGGCAGCCCCATCACCATACTAGCTAACAAGTACTAAATACTTATTGTATTCATAAAGCTCCATTCTTAGTCAAAGAATAATGAAAAAAAACATTGTATGATCTTAGTGTTATTCTTTTGTTAACAAAGTGTATTTGTAAACAAACAGAAGTTACCAGGATTTGTAATATAGGTTATTCAAACTAGCATGAGAACAATATAATAGTTATTTGAATCTCTAATGCAATGCTCAAGGAGGCTTAACTAATTTCAAGTGTTTATTGAAAACTTGAGTCAAGTTCAACTAATTCTTGTTTACATCTTCCTGGCTGACTATAGTTGACAACTTTCTAATCCACGAATTAACTGTATGCCTTTCTCTATCTCTAAAATCAAATCCCAGTTTAACAGGAGTGAATAACCTGTTTGGATTAAAACACATCCAAAGCACAAAAGCATCCCTTCAAAAGTACTCTTTTAGTGAACAAAATATAAAAAATATTTTAAATGAGTGCCGTTGTAATCTTTTTCTTTTAATTCAATTGCAATTAATTTATTGTCCTCATATTTTAATCCATAGCACCCATGACATGTAATACAGCAAATGATTTCACCTGCAATAATGGAAGGTGTATTCGAAAGTCATGGAAGTGTGACCAAGTTGATGATTGCGATGATAACAGTGATGAAATTGGCTGTCGTAAGTATTCATTCTTGAAGTGAATTCCATAAAAAAAACAACATTAATTAGCATGCAAATTTATGTTAAATCAGTGTCAGGGAAAAATTTTTTTTCCACTTTGCTGTCTGATAGTGCTAGGATCTTCAGGTTCTTAGACTGGACCTATGTAACTGCTCAAACTGGAGTCTCAAGAGATTATTGTTTTGTGGGTACTGAGAAATAATTTCCTTACATTGATTGACCAAAGAAAACCCATCTTGGGATGAATCATTCATTCGTTAAAATTTATTTTCTGAAAATAAAAATATACTTAAAAATACAGCATGTCCAAGTTTAAACTGAGTCTTCTCATTGTCTGTATCCCATAGCTACACGAGCATCAGCTTCCTGCCCTCCTGACCATTTCACTTGTGCAAACGAACAATGTAAACCCCTGTCCTTCAGATGTGATGGTGAAGATGATTGTCTAGATGGAAGCGATGAGCAGCACTGCTGTAAGTAGAATAGACCAGTTCCTAGTTCCAAATTACCGCTGTGTTCCTTGATTACACACACTCATTTACTCATTTACAAACAGTAAAGTAAAAAATGCACAACTTCAACAATACAAACACTTTGAAATTCCTCCGACCTTCACTGGAACACGTGAATGTTCTGCACAAAAATGAGGCTAATCCTGAGCAACCAAGAACTCAAAACTGGAGTATTTTATGTATGTGGATGATTTAACTTGATTTAACTAAAAAATTGTAATTATATTTTATTCTTTTTCTCTGCAGCAAATTCTTGCTCAAGCAACCAATTTCGTTGTGACAATGGCCGATGTGTCTCGTTAGATTTCAGATGTGATCAAGAAGATGATTGCAATGATTTGAGCGATGAACGAGGCTGTGGTGAGTCTTGTGTTCATTCCATTTCTTAAAATTCTAAGTCAACTTCTATATATACTTCAATATATCCTATCATTAATCACCTCAACCAAAGTCATAAAAGAGTTAAAAATTTGAACTAAAATATCATCTTTGCTTTTAGTCAATAAAACCTGCAGTCCATCAGAGTTTACCTGTAGCCTTAGTGGCCGATGCATACCTGCTCGCTACAGATGTGATGGAAGAAATGACTGCATGGATGGATCTGATGAAAAACAATGTCAAAATGGTAAATTAATGCATTCATACTTGGCAACTACTAGTGCAATTTTATGCTTTTGCATTGTAAAGAGGCTTTGCGCCATCACAGGACAGGAGGCACAACAATAGAGCCTTTGGGAAAGAGTAGTATAGGGAATGGGGGTTCCAGCGCAATCTCAACACGGGCAAGACCCGTGCCAAAAATCCACCTACGGAAACAACCCACTCCAAGTGTGGTTGGGGGCAACAGCGCAAATATGTTAGTCTATATATGGAGTGCGAAGA